GTTCTGGTCAAAATTCATGATCTATTTCTATTTACCTTATGTAATTTTTTCAAACTGTTTCTAAGCACCCAAAAGTTTTAACAGGTTCTGTTTTTGCTTCAATTTATTATTATCTTTTTTATATATTTTTTTTGGTCTCCTTCTTAACGCTGTCTGACATTATGTTTTATATCAGATATGCTGGATACTCCTCGTGCTTCCGCAAAGAAGCCGGTTCACATGGTCGGGACACTTTGGGGATTTTCCGTGTCCATCAGTTTGAAAAGGTGGAACAATTCTGTGTAACCAGTCCCAACCGAAATGATTCCTGGGAGATGCATGAGGAGATGCTAAAGAATGCCGAAGATTTTTACAAACTGGTATCCTTCTCAGCTTCCCCTATTGACCAGTTTCTCATATATAGTATTTCACCATTTAAAACAATTTTATACATAAGATTATTGACAATCAGTTGTTTGTGCACAGCTGAATATTCCGTACCAAGTTGTCTCAATTGTCTCGGGTGCACTGAATGATGCTGCCGCAAAGAAGTATGATCTGGAAGGGTGGTTTCCGGCATCAAAGACTTATAGAGAACTCGTTTCGTGTTCAAACTGTACCGACTATCAGTCAAGGAGATTAGAAGTTCGTTACGGGCAGAAAAAGGTCAGTCTTTATGACAGTAACTGCAAAAACTACCTTTGAGGCTTTAGTCTATATTTTACGAACCGCCTCACTAAAGAAGGGAGAAAAGGATTATATTAATTTCTTATCTTTCTTTTTACGGTTATGGTTACAGAGTAACGACAAGGCTAAGGAATACGTGCACATGCTCAACTCTACACTGACAGCAACCGAGAGGACAATCTGCTGTATCCTGGAGAACAACCAGAAAGAGGATGGAGTGGAAATACCCGAGGCCCTAAGAGCCTTCATGGGCGGCAAGGCCTTCATCCCTTTCAAAACCAACAACCCTGTAAAGGAAACAAAAGGGAAGAAGAATTGAGGAATATTTTCCTCAATAATTATGCAAGCATTCAGCTTTACTACAGTTGGGAACTATCCTAGGAACTGAATATGTTCCAAGAATGCATCATGTTTTTTGTGCAATCCATACAAACTTGTCGGAAAATTTATGAAAAATCAATGTTTTATTTTAATGTATGTTCCTGACTATGTTTTTGCTTCATTGATGCTTGCTTACCCAATAGTTGGATTTTCAAGAAGCTAGTTTTGTTAAACGTGTTTGGTTTTTACTCTATTTCTCTACACTATTGGACATATATAGAGGGGTTTATTTCATTTCTTAGAGTGTGTATATAACCCAGTGTTCTAAAAGTCTCTAGGCGCTCGATTAACGCCTAGGCGGGGCTTAAGCGGCGTTTAGTCGGGGCTAGAAATCAATATTAAATCTTATTTTTTATTTATTTTAATTACCTACAAAATAAAATTATCTCAACTTATAATAAATCGACACATATAAGTCAAAATAATAAAATTAATATATTCTAAAGAAAACATGAGAACAAACTAATATAATTTATAAAAAAATAATAAAAAAAACTAAAAATTGCCGCCGAGCCCGCCTATAAATGCCTAGGTCACATATACCTGCCTAGGCGCCCCTAACCGCCTGGCTGCAGAGCCCGCCAAATTCGCCTAGGAGCGCCTAGGGCCGCCTAGCCGTCTGGCCGCTGATTTGTGCAAATCGGAGGAACCCGGACACTGCCTAGCGCCTAGACCGATTTTTAGAACAGTGATGTAACCACATTAGCGGAGTTTATAAAACCAAATTAACCAAATTTGCCAGTTTATCAAAAATCGAAAACGCTGAACTCTTGTCCAAAACTGACTGAGATAACTATCTTATTTGGTCGGTTAACTGAATTAACTAAAATAATTGAAATATATATTTCAGCTTATAGTAAAATAGATATATTTTATTTTTTACTACACTTTATTTAATATATATTATTTTTAGGAATTATATACGTGCATATATATTGTTTAAGTAATCCGGATATTTTAAATAAACTCGTAGTAAAAATATCTAAAATTTTAAAATAGAAAATTGATAACCGATTTGACGGATATTTTTGACGGAAAGACATCGTATTGGAAATATATTCCGTTATTTCATTAAACAAAATTTGGACCCCTATTGTTCGCACATTTCACCGTTTCTTTATTACATTTACTAATATGTTTCTCAATGACATTATTTGTAAATAAATGTCGTTTTGGATCTTTTGTCATAATTTTTCATTATTACTCTTATTTAGTTAATAAATACAATACGTCTTTTCATATTCACTCTTCATTTTTTCTCAAAACATTCATCTCTATCTTCATTAAATAAGGTTATTATTGACAAAAAAAATATTTTTAATTAATGTATAACTTTTCAAAACGACATATATTAATGACCATGTGCGAAAGCACTTGGGGGGTCGGAGAGGCGCCGGCCCCTCAAAAAA